GATAAATTTACAAAAAAGCTTTATTTTGCCATATCTAATTTCCAAAACAGTGCTTCTTACGATTTTTACATTTAATGAACTGTCATCCTGAATGTATGCCCGATAGCCACACGACCCCGTTACGTTAGGTGCCAGTTTTTTTATCCCACTCCTTTTTTCGTCCCCACCATCCGCAAGAAGATTCTTCCTTGGAAGCCATGATATATATGGTGAGATTTTTTGGCAATAAACAATCGCAGCAACGGGGGCCAGCAGCAGTTAGCAGGAGCATTAGGGTGAATTATTTTGGCCACCCTGTACATAAAAAGTCCCATAAATCAGCTAAATCACGAGAGCTCGCTCCTTTGCCCTCGGAACGCGAGATCTTGTCTAGGGTGACTCTTAAGGAGGCCCACCTCTGGTCCTGCGTCCTTTGGCATAGATCTCCATTTGGTAAACTCAGCTTATCTCAATCTCTAACCCAGTAGCGGGACGTAAATACACCCGTAATACGCGAGTCAAAACCTTTTACGTAAAACAGCCGAAACGTCCGTTCGAAAACACGTCTTCCACTGGCTTTGGCACGGGGCGCCATCTAGCGGCCGAAACCATAAACTAACGGCGGGCCAGTCCAGATGAAAACCGAGAAGCCATTTGGTGTACGGACGAGATAATGCCGGGTTTTCATTACTCTAAGAGCCGATTGCATTTTTTACGTCTCCATACACATATATGCACACACCATACGTGATTTCAATCACGATTCACTCCCATACGCGCCATCTAATCACATGTGTTCCACGTAATCACGTGGCGCTCCCCAGCGGACAATCCTCCCACTTGGCTCCCAATCCAGGCTGCCTTCCATTCTTTATTCCACCCAACAGAGGGTTAGAGGGTGGCGCTTGGTGACATTCTCTTTTCTCTTTTTTTTTTGTTCCACTAAAGGCACCCTCTGCTACGATCTGGACCACGTCCGAGGATCACGCGTTATCTCGAGTCAGCGTATATACTCGCCATAGATATAGATATACTATAGTACAGTGCCATAGAAATAGGTAGGGCTTAGCTCCCACATAATTAAGTCGCAATTGAAAATTAATCATCGAAATTGATTCGTACGCCGATCCCCTGTAAGCTGAGACCTTCGGCAGTCAAAAAAAAAAGAAGCTGAGCTTTTCCTTTGATCTATCCCGCTTTTCTCTCACTCCCCTTCGTCCCCTCTCCTCGTCTACCGAAGCAAGCTCCTTACGCCAATTATTTCTCGGATTACACTTGCATTCAACTCCCACTCTCCTTGCAGCATCCCTACCACACCCCTACCTGCAATTCATACTTTTACATAATTTTTCTGCTCTCGCCAATTTTTTTTTAACCCTCTACTTCGTAAGGGTATGCCAGTCAAAGTGCATTACCAATAATGCAATTTTTATATTTTTCAAAAAAAAATCCATACGATTTCAATTATCTTCTATTTTTTTACTGTATTCAAAAATAAGGAAAAAAATTAATTTTACTGATTCTCCTTTTCGTATACACTCTATATGTACTGTGTCTGCTGTATGTATAGGATCCATATATTGGCCGCCCCACTGCGATACACAATTACGAGATGACTTACAGGTCCCTTTGATGTTCTCTACTTGTACAGGGGGTTTCAGGAACATAGTCACAGTTTAGCTATAGCAAATATATATATATATATATATATATATCGGTCTTTATAATGACGTCACACGTGCCAGGGTTTAACACGATCACCTACATTGCTTCCGTCTCGTCTTACCCCCCCGGCGCACCCCATTACCTTTTTACCCATGGAGACGGCGTTGCTTTTCGTAGCTTTTGATTTTGTCGCAAAGCCGTCCCGGAAGCCTCTTGGCTGCGGCCTCCATTGTTGCCACATTAAGAGAGCTTCAGCTTAATAGGGCCAATCGATCGGTTCTATTGGTACCACCTACCAAATTCTATTATTGTCAGGTAGTACCGTTATACTAAGCACGATGTACACCAGTTGGCAGCACTGTTCGATAAAAAAATGAAAATTTCAAATTTTCATCCCTTAAGTCAACAGCTGCCATATACTACCATGGTAACGTGCTGGTACCATGGGGATGATAGTGGTACCAAATATTGAGGAGGGGGGTGAACTGTCGCCATACTTTTTTTTTTTTTTTTTTGGCGAACGTCCAAAAACTCGGTGGCCACGATGCGCCGGACAATTCCCGAAAATTCATGAGATAAAATTTCACGTGAAACACGGTACGCTATGTGGTACATGGAGTTGATATAGGGGGTGGAATTTATTGGATGCGGCTAGAGGAGCCCACTTTGGATGCTGGGATAAAATCGGATACCGGTTTTACGAATTATTTCCTTATTTTACTTTTTTATACTATATACAGTAAAAAAATTTTTTTTCATTACCGATATTTTTATTTTCCTCATTGGTCATATAAGAAGACTCTATAGACAGATCGGTGCAATCTTTCCAGAAGTAAAATCCTGATAATCCGGAACACAGATTGAATTGAACGTAGAGGCGAAAGAAAATTGCAACCTTCCCTGGTCGGATGGAGATGATAAAATTGCCTTGAGATGATGGGGTAGGTGTTAGCACTTTAAGCCGGATAAAAGGTTCAGGATCGGACGGAGAAAGTATTTCCAATTTCTTCGTAATTGAAAAACCTGTTTAATCCGACTGATTATTATTTATTTATTTATTTAATTTTCTCCTACAGTCCAAATTAACCATAGGCTGCATTATCAATGAACCAATCTACCCGTCAATGCATTCCACCTTATCAATCTCATAAAAAATTTCCAATCGATATCCCAGCGTATTACACAATCATTCGAATGAAAACCCAACCAGAAGATAACAGGATTAAAAATTGATCCTGTTGATGAAAATATACAAAAAAAAAAAATTTCAAAATCCTATTTCCGTCTTTTTCTCTTTGTCCCTCCCCCTCCTGCCCCACTTCAACCCCCTATCTATACCCTTTCTCAATATCATTGACACAGAACGAGTTGGTATCAATTTAAAATACGGCCATTGGATACTAACGGGCTGTGATTATTTTAATCCAAGGGAGAGGCGGGTCCCTAGGTCCATGTATTGCAGGGACGGTGAGATGCTGCGCCAGAATGAGAAGGAGGTGGACCAGGTCGGAGTACGGTCAGAGAGAGGATAGAGAGACCAGGACAGGGCAGGGACTTGTAATTTGTTTCGAGATCGTATCATCAAAGTGGCTCTTCGTCCTCGTCGAGGGGACACTCGAGCGCATGGTAACGGGTACGGAGGAACGGGAATTGGACGCAGGAGTAGGGAGTAGGAAGTTGAGACGAGAGTGAGCAGAGTCGAAGGAAGGACAAGAAGTAGGAGGAGAATACGAAGCTGGTCAGTTCGAAATGGAGGTTGAGATGGCAGTGAAGGTAGTGAAGGTTCCAGGAGTAGGAGGAGTGCCTAAGACCATCTCAATCTGTCCACTCGGCGAGTCGCTTTAGCGACTTTGCTCCTCGTAATCACTTAGCCAGAGGATGGGATTGGTTGGTTGTCATCCCTTTATCTCCCTGCAGGAGTTATAACGTGGCTTTTCTCACCGTGGGCTACCATCCACGAGGTACCCCTGTACGCGTAGCCATTATACAAAGGCTTTTATCTGTAATGAAAAAAAAAAATTAAAAACTCAAAATTTCATCTTCGTTCAGAATCTGAGGTACCAGACGATATCACGAAGACACGTATCAACTTTTATCCCCTTACTCTGATACCGGACCCAACAAACCTGGTACCGATCAGCTCATCCTGTAACCTCTGCTTCTCGGATCCTTCTACCATCCTGACCAGCTGGTATCGCGTATCGCTACGTGGGATCGGGGTAAGCCAGTAGCCTGTTCCCTCTTCCATGTTGCCTCTTCACATTGCCCCGAAGCGGCAGCAGCAGCAGCAGCAGCAGCACACTCGATGCGCACAATTAATATCGAGCCGTATCTCCGATCTCTCATTATTACCCAGTGCCGGAGTGTGTAGGTGTAGCTATGGTGTAGCTACACGAGGAAGATATGCGCTCCAGGGTGGTGGTGCAGCTACCGTAGACCCCAGGACACCACCGTCGGCCATGCATCACCCTAACGAGCCGAGGATCGCGTGCCGATCTGTATTAAGGATTTATAATCCTTGGGAGGCGAAGGGGACGCTAATGTCCAAGGAGGAGACTCGGCTGGTCAGGATCACCAGTTAGGTAGACCTCTATGATTCCTGGCTACCGGAGATCGTCGTCAGGGGGTACGGTATCATGGAGTCATTTTAGGGTTAGGTCCTTCTCACCATGATCTCGTACCTCTGACTCCTCATCGGTACCCAAAATAATTTTTTTTGACCATCCTCCAACTTTGGGTCAACGTCTAGACGTCTCACGGCAGGTTATCCCTGGACACGTCTGTCCTCTTCCGTAGACAGGGTCGCGTCCAACCGGACACCACGTGTGGCATTCCACCCTAAACACATATTAATTAGCCACCAGCAGACAGGAAGACATAACTCCTTCGGTGATGGGTCAGGCGAGGTGGGTCCTGGCAGGACCCTGTCCTGAAGGTTCCGAGTGTCGTGTTACGTCCCTCAGCCTTGGACCCTCAGGGGCCCACGGGTGGGCCCTGCGGTAGCGTCTACGTGGGTTAAGAAACCGAGTCCAACACTCCTGCCGCATTAATAACACTGGTAGCTGCTCATATGTTAAACGTCCACCCGTTACCTTCTGGATGCCGGTGCTACCCGGTCCTGACTACCTACAGCGTCGAGGAATACTTCCTACGATTGCCTACGAATTCTACAACTCCTAATTATCGTGATTGACCTGATAACGATATTTCCCTGGTATTATACCGTGGTCTGATGTAGATCCTCATCCTGGCACGAAATAGTATACTTACCGTCAGCTAGTCGTATACCTGTATTAAATATATATTTTTATCCTATGTGTAATTTCAAAATTTTTTTTTTTTTTTATTTGTTTCAGGTACCACTACCCGGAGGCGGCTTGCAGACTACCCCCAAGAAATTATTCCTCGAAGTCACCCCTCGCATGAGCACCGCTGTCCGATCTCGGTATCACGTCGTTCTCGACTCCAACCCTTTCTGTAAATACGTCATATGCGTCTGGAGCTCACACGGAACATCCTCATGCCTCTCACGTACTGCCACTAAATTACGAATCGTCGTCCTCATCGTCGTCGTCCTCGTCGCCGACTTTCACGTTGTCGTCGTCGACCCTATAGCGTTCGACTTAGCATATTCCTCTGAAGTCAAAATTACGGCACGCGATTCTATCGAGATATTCACCCGCTGTCAGAGTTATGCTCGGGGAAGATCCTGTTAACGGGATTACCAATGGTCTCTAGACTCCATGATGGGTCCAGTAGTGTGGCAAAAAATGAGATAGATAAAAGAAAGAAAAAAAAAATGAATTTTGAAAAAAAAATTTATCACCTGTGCCGTACACGTACGAGATGAACTTTGTATATATTTCAATATACAATTATATATACATATTATATATAGTATAAATAATGTAGAGAATGTTGGACGATAAGGATTATTCTGATTATCATAATCGTGGAAGTTTATCGGTCTTCGATAATTATAGATTCTTATTATTATTATTATTATTATTATTGTACAATTAAGAAATCCGTTGATCACTCCTCTAGCGTTTACGATACGTTTTTGTAGTGCTGTGCGCGCGAATGACGCGAATGAATTGCGAGGCGGCATGTCTGGCGGTCACGTGAAAAAAAAAAAACGCACATGTTCTTTTTTATTTTTCTAATCTTTTATCTCTACCAGTTATACGCACGCTTCCGAAATGATTGATGAACGGGGCAACGAGGCGGGAAAATATCGGATTTGTTTGTACCGGTCAGGTATCTTGGAAGGATTGCGATAAATGTGGGAAGGACGGAAAAAAAGGGAGATGTAAAAGAAAAATAAATAAAGGACCTCCGTGAATGTAAACCTGGTGCTTCTGCAAGCGCACCTGACTCGTTCCGTCGAGTGCGTTATCCTTGCGCCTGAGCCGTTGTGCCGCATCCCTGAGAAAACCAGTATGGGCCCATCTCGTTACTTATTCCAGGAGTGCGTGCACGTACAGGGTGAAAAGTGTGCGTGGATGGCAGAAGGATGCGTGAGTTTGGTCGTAAGCGCGTACAATGCTTCGGTAAGATAGCGTGTGGCGCAGCGTGAAACTCATTCATGAACACCCACGCGTAGGACCGACCGACTACGGGACTGACTTCTATTAGTCCCGTCGGGACGCAGTCGGGAGACTAAATGACGAAAATGATTATTCCGATGTTAAATTTCGACAAGGGGTATACGGGAGTAACGTGTCTTTTCTAGATAATTGAATCTTAACATTAAAACCATAATGCAAGAAATGGTTATGGGAGGCGTGAATATTTTTGTCCCACCTGAGTTTACTCGCGAAATCCTGTAGAGGCGCTGCTCTACGCGTCTCCTTAGTCTATGGGGGTTTGACGATTTTGAATGACTTTGAGAACTGTCAGGTTTAACTTGACGATAATACGATACGGTGTATAGATGCTGGAGCGGATAAAGAGAAGTGTGGAAGGTAAGAAGGAAAAAGGTATCAAAATGGCACGCCCACGTGTGATCTTGAGTATAAATAAAAGCATATTATTTCTCGGACTCTCCAGGGGCGAGCAACTGCATAAAACGTGGAGCTCGAGTTAGCGGCTCTCTGGTAGTCGGCGAAGCTTAGGCGTGAACGCTCCATAAATAACTAATTGTTGCGGCTGAATTGCGTTCATAAAGCGACCGATATCGTGGACCTCCCGAGCACTGGGAGTTCGAAGATATAAATAACAAGAACAGGTCTCTGGCACTTAGGACCGTAATGTTGGTACCTACAGCACGTCTTATTATATCACGTGAAATCCGATAAATTTTGAAAAAAAAAATCTATAATTTCCAAAATATATTAACGACGTAACTTTTTATAGAAATTGAAAAAATTTGAAAAAAAAATTACGATGGCGTTCGTCGTCATACAACTCGCGTTACTCCTACAGCCACACGCAATAAATATTCCAACGACGTTAATAATTGAAAATTCAGCCAAAAAAAGGAGAACCGACAGCAAGGCGTTACCGTAAGTTTCGCGAATATGACAAGGCCCGGCACTCGTCTAGGGTAAATAATTTAAAGGAAGCGGCGCGTACCTGAAGAACCGTGACCGTCGGCCATGCGTGCGCGCATGCGTGGCTGCGTGGATGCGTGATGAACGTGTATGTAGGTGCGTCAGGTGAATAAATTGTCCGAAGAATAAACGGTGGATGTAGTTAATAAGCCAGTGTGTTGTCTTTCTGATTTATGCTCCATACAGCCTCCTCTCCCACCAAGTACAAGTATTCAAGTAAGTCCCCTCCAAACGTACTATAACCTACACCAAGACCAGGTGTACACTTCACGAAGTGGCAGGATACTAAAACCTCACAAGACCATCATCGGTAGCCACACAGGAATATCAGTATTTCGTTTTGCACTAAAAATGACCAAAACCAAAAACCATCCTAAAGCTCAAAATACGTGAATTTTGAAAATTCTTAAAAAATTTTCAAAAATTATTTCCCCCTCCATACTCTCTTCCTTCGTCCTTCTACCTTCGTATACCAATCCCTACCAGCAATACCACCCAATAGCGGATAAAGCACAAGCGTGTCAGATACAGCGACGATAGTCGTCCGATGTGGATGAGGCGATAGGCTGTCGATAATTGCTTAATTGACTCAGCCACGATGGTAAATACCGATACGACACAGGAATGGTAAGTGTAACACTGGCGTATCTATGGCCCCGGGTAGAATAAGCCGAAGAGAGGCACAACTGACGTATCTCTTTTTTTTCTCCAAGAGAGAACTTCTCTTGATCTTTAAGAAAGGCATGGAGACTTGTAGCGACCAAGAGAAGGAGAGAGGTACCACGTGGTCCACTGATCTACTGTACCGAACAGAACCAAGAAGAGGAACCTGAACAAGTACAGCTGAGAGGTGAGGAGAAAGAGAGAGAGAGGGAGAGAGAGATAGGACCTGGCAAGATATTAGAGATGTGAGATAGCTTTATTAAACGAGAGGTGATGCCAGCACGAGACACCTCGCCGGTTGCTTTGATCATCCGCCATGAAATTTTTGTCTCCTTTCAAGATACAGACCCGAACGATTGTTCGAAAATTGTAAACAAAATTTGCATAGACACAAATGGTAACTATAAAATAGGGATTATTGAAAAATTAAATATTGAGGGTTCATATCAGATAGAATTTCACTATAGTGTATGTTGTATAGAGTATATGGTATAGTGTCAAGGTATGGAACGTGGAAAGAAAATATATATAATAACTGTATATATAATAACTGTATCGGTTCAATTTGAAATGCCAAACCACATATATACAGGATGATTCTAAGAAGCCGTGAGCCACGCTCAACCGCGTGTCCAGTTGGTACTTGGGAGAGATGAATCCTGAGATACGAACACCTAGGTGTCTGTACCCTGTGCCGGTTCGTGCCTCGCATATCGTCGAACGGTCTTCCTCACGATCCGGCACGGTGTCTGAAGCTACGAATTGTACCAGGTTCTTCCTAGGCTCGTGGGCTGACAGGCCGCCCGTCATTACACGATGACTCAACAATCATCTGGGAGAGCTGGGCTGCTCAGAGCCAGAATAGCTTGAAATGAACTCGCCACCCACTATCTAAAAGAAGCAGCAACGCAGTGTACATACATACAGAGTGATTCAGGTAAGACGCACGTTTGTGGTTTGCGGTGGATTGGTGTACGATTTTGAAAATTTTATTTGATGACTGTTGAATGTTCTTTTATTGAGAATCGATCGCGCATATTATTATTGTTCCTTTAACTTTCGTTCGGAAACAAAAAATTATCTTTGCCGTTTCAATTAATATGAAAAAAAGTTAAATGCAAACGTCGTAGAGTGAGAAGAAAGAATAGGGATGAACATCATCAAATGTCCAAGAAACCTGTACACGGTAGCTGAAAGGTATTACAATATTATTTCTTTTTTCTATTACAAGTTGGAACTCTACATGCTCCATTTTGGACTCTACGTGATCCTCGACGAAGATTTTGGAGTCTACGGAGGTCTTTGGAATTCGGAGTGCTCCTGAGCGTAGCTACAGCAGTCTTCGCATCTTTACGCGCTTCTGGTCGCAGTCTTAGCATCCTTACGTGCTCCGGTTAATAAATATTATTGGACCTTGATTTACTTTCAAAATTTACTCAAAATATAAAATTGAGGCTCAATCAAAATCTCGCAGAATATACGAAGTAGATAAAAACTGGATTGAAATGGTAGAATATTGAAAACAAAATACGTCCAAATTGAAATATTAAAAAATTCGGTGTTTGGAAGATTAAAATAATTAATTAAATTTATAAAGTAAAATATTAACACTTAGAAATCGGAAATTCTGGCCAAGAATATTTAGAAGTACTGGAAGTTGCCCAAAATTGTGTGCGCGCAAATTCGTCGCGCAGGACTCGGTGAGCCGGAGCAGGCGGATGGTGGGGGGAGCACTTAAGGCAGTACCCGGACTCCGAGCGCTCATTCTTCCTCGAGCCGGTCTCCTATACTGGTCTCTTGGAATCATTTCGAACCTTCTTCTATTTTTATATTTATTTCTCCTTTACTTCGTTATTTCTTTATCTTTCATTCTTCACTTTCTTATTTATCTCCTTCCTCATTTCTTCTCCACTTTTATAGCTCTATTCCTTATTTTTCTACTTCTTCACTTCTTCAATTCTATATTCATTTCTTCGCTTATTATCTTATTCTCACTTCTTTATTTCTATATCCGTTTACAACCTTCTTCTTCTTCTTCATTCATTTCTTCTTTACTTCCTTATTTCTTTATATTTCATTCTTTACTTTCTCACTTATCTCATTCCTTGTTTCTTCTCTATT